TAGGAGTTGTTGTAGACGATTTTGGGCTTCACATGGTTGGCTCACATCGACCTGTCAAGAGTGAGTCAGCCAGCGCTACCATCATGCTACATCAGGAGTTAGAGAAGATTCACCTGCCAGTCCACAGGCAGAAGAGTAGAGTTCTCGCGTCCACCCCCAGCCTCAGGCATGAGCTCGCCGTGGCTCTCAGCTTTCGTCGGGTTCTTGCTGTTCAGTCTGAGCGCTACCTGGGGGTGGACTACGCGGCTGGCGGAGTCATCAAGCGATCCACCAAGCGTGGTCGCAGGGTCTCTGCCGCCGCTCGTCAACGCAGGATAGTTTCTATTGCCAGCAAGCTACGCAAGCGCGTAGCACATCAAATGGTCCGAGCTGCCGCGCAGGCCTCCACCGCTCACGGGTCGGGGGTGACGGGCAGCTCGGAGACCGAGCTCCGGCAGGCGAGGTTTTTGCAGGCCAGCGTCCAATGTCAGCGCCTGCACGGACGCAGCCTCACCTTACTTTTGCAGATGCTAGGGGTTCGGCAGCTCGACCCCGCGTGCGCTTTGAACATCGCGCCCCTCCTCCACCTCGCCACCGCGGTCTGGGAGTCCTGGGTCCCGCGGGGCGTCGTCGTGGCAGGCCTCCAAGGGGCCTGCCGCGCCCTGGAAGGGCGCTCCTCGCCCTGGAAAGCTATCCGTGGACCCTTCTCCGCGTGCGTGGCTACGGCCAAGAGGCTGGGCATCAGCGTCGACGGCCTGGGATGGTACCATCCTGTCATCGGCTATTTTTCGTTGACGGAGCTGTGTCCTCGCACGATCGTGCCCGCGCTGACGCGCGTCGTGGGCGCTTGGTGTTAGCGCAGAGTAGCCGAGCACCTCGACCAGCCTGCATTTCAGCGCGGGCCCTTCCTGGCTTCAATTTTTTCGGGCATGCGAGCACTCACTGCCCAAGAAAAAGCTTACATCGTCTCCGTCGTCTCAGGAGGTCAGTGGCCGCAGGCGCGGCAAGCGGAGCGCAGGCTCTCCGAATCGGATGTTTGTCAGGTTTGCCTCGACTCTCCTGGCGCGCTCTTGCACAGGCACCTCGCGTGCCCTGGCCACGAGCTGGCCTTCGGTCTCGAAGCCCCGCCCTTGGCCGCCCCCCACCTCCGTGCCAGCGGCAGCCCCCCCGCCCGCCTTCTCGCCGAGAGGCTGCTGGCGCCGCTGCCTGCCCCCCCCCCCCCATCGCCTCCTCTCCCCGCGGAGGTCTGGGTGAGAGGAGACCCCAGCATGCTGGACTGAGATGTCTTTCTCGACGGGGGCCTCCTCGACGGAGAGCTCCCCCCCGCGGCCCAGTCCCTCGCCTGGGCCTGTGTTGCCCTTCAGGACGATCGGCCCACTGCGGCCGCTATTGTTGCTGGTGGCCTCCCCGCGGGCATGTATGACACTCGCGCTTGTGAGCTCTGGGCCTTCCTCATGGCCCTCCGTCTGTCTGCCCCTGCCGCCACCTTCTGGACCGATTCTCAATTCGTGCTTAGTGGGGTCTGGCAGCGGGGAAAAGCTTTCTGCTGCTCGGCCAAGTCGGCCCGGGCCCATATCTGGTTCCAGGTGCGGGCCTGCCTCGAAGATCGAGGGGGTGTTGACTGTCTGCGCTTGCACAAGGTCAAGGCCCACACCTCACGCGGCGACCTCGAGCGAGGCGCCATCTCCGAGCGCCAGCGCGCGGGCAATCAGCTCGTCGACGCTGCCGCGAAGGAGGCTGCCGCCTACTCCCGCGTGTCGTCAGACTACCGTCTCAGATTTAAGGCCCAGGCCATGTTTGTGAAGTTTCTCACCATCTGGACTGGCCGTATAGGCCTCAAGATGGCCGACATTGATGCGGAGCACGTTCCTCCTGGGAAGCGCAGGCTGCCGCCGCGTAAGGTAGCTTGCGTCGTGCTGCCGCCTGAGGTCGTGGTTTCGCCCGTCCTTTCCAGGGCCGGCGTCGCCCTCGCCGCTCTGGCCCGCGGCGGGCACGTCACTCATCGTGCGTTTCCCATCTCCCTCGCCAGTGGGGCGAAGGCGATCGTCTGTGCTGTGTGCGGCGCTGGAGGCGTCACCCTCCAGGCCTGTTTCCGTGAATCCTGTAGCCAGAGGCCCACCGCCTGGGGAGGCCGTGTTTTGAGGTGCCTGGCCCAGGGCCGCTACAAGATGGGGCGGGATTGGGCCCCGCTCATCGAGCCCTGGCGGCCCCGAGACCTTGTCGAGAGTGGCCAAGCACTTCGTCCGCTTTAAGTTTTGAGGGGGGGGGCCCTGTCGCTGGCCCCTGCCAGGGCTGTCATCCCCTGGCAGGGTGACAAAAAAGTCTCGCTCCGATGGGCCCCCCCTCCAGCACTGCCAGGATCGAGGGTCCTCGCCCCTTCTTCCTTTAGTCAGTGCGCAGGAGGAGGAGGAGGAGGAGGAGGAGGAGGAGGAGGAGGAGGAGGAGGAGGAGGAGAGGGAGGAGAGGGAGGAGAGGGAGGAGAGGGAGGAGAGGGAGGAGAGGGAGGAGAGGGAGGAGGAGGAGGAGGAGGAGGAGGAGGAGGAGGGGGAGGAGGAGACGCGGGGACTGTCTCTGCAAAACGAGGACCCAACACCACAGGAGCGTTGGAGAAACAACGAGTGCGTGCGCCGCTAATGCGAGAACCCCCTTTTGCAAAGGACAGGCGTGCAGGGGGTGCCGCACAAGCCGGGTGCCCCCGCGGGAGCGCGTCAGCTGAGGCCGCGGGTGAAGTGTCCCTTCGTGGGGCACTGACCATGTCATGGCGTGTGCCGCGCATGGCGGGGGCACGCCGTGGGAAGCTGAGGAACGGTGCCCTAGGTGGAGCTCCGTCTGGGGCACGGTTCGCGTGAGGGGTATGCCGAACTAGGCGGGGGACGTTGTGCGAGCCATGCTTGTCAGGGCAATGGAGCTGACTGAGGAGCGCACTCCGTGTAGTGGGTGTGCCATGTTAAGGCGCCGGCAGGCGCTTGTGCGCCTTTTGGGGGATTCCGCGCGCCGATCCGAGAATTCTGCGCGACGCCCGACGTCTCGCGAAATTGTCGACCGTCGCGCAACACGAAGGATTTGTGGCCTCTGGCGCACACTGTGCCAAAATTGCCAGGGGGGCGCTTTGCGAACCCTGTCTGAGCCACCGTCTCGCTACACGTCATCCTATGCGCCATGGCACTTGCTCTGGCCGCCTGCACGCATGCATCGTCACGCACGCATCCCTGCAACCACATGCGCGACCTACTTCCATCGTCGCTACGCTTTCCGCACCCTTGCACCAAGTCCTGCACAAGCTGTTTTTCCTAACCATCCTGTGGTGTTGGGTCCTCGTTTTGAAGCGACAGCTCCCCGCGTTCCTTCCTCCTCCCGCTGCCCCCCACCCTCCTCCCCGCATCATCGTCATCATCATCGTCATCATCATCATCATCATCATCATCATCATCATCATCATCATCATCATCATCACCCTCACGAGGATCGTGGCCCCATTGGAGCTCCACCGAAGGCGCCAGTAGCAAAGTGCGCATGGCGGCCTCGGGCCATTTCGGCACACCCCTCACGAGGATCGTGGCCCCATAGGAGCTCCACCGAAGGCGCCAGTAGCAAAGTGCGCATGGCGGCCTCGGGCCATTTCGGCACACCCCATCACGAGGATCGTGGCCCCATAGGAGCTCCACCGAAGGCGCCAGTAGCAAAGTGCGCATGGCGGCCTCGGGCCATTTCGGCACACCGCTCACGAGGATCGTGGCACCATAGGAGCTCCACCGAAGGCGCCAGTAGCAAAGTGCGCATGGCGGCCTCGGGCCATTTCGGCACACCCCTCACGAGGATCGTGGCCCCATAGGGAGCTCCACCGAAGGCGCCAGTAGCAAAGTGCAGGAATCCTGGGCCCTGGCCGCCAGCACTTGTGGTGTGCAAGGGTTTTCCACAGTGCATACGTTATATGATAGCAAGCTCTCTTGTCAAAAGTGTAGGAGCTCCACGACCAAAACTAAGCGGCGAAAGAATTGGTTGGATACCCCATGCTTTGACCTGAGGGCTAAAGATGGCGTAATTTTCAGGCCGCCCCCCCGTTGCAGGGTGCACATCTGTGGGGGGTGGGCTGATGAAACTCACTTGTTACAGTTTCACGCAGGGCTGGGGATTTGGTTCTGCGGCACCTGCGGATGTTTTGCGGCCCAAAAATTGGCCCAACTCGGAAGGAGGTGTGAATGCAGGCCTGCAGGAAATCGTGTAGTTCACCTTGGGAATGTTTAGCGGGGGATCTGGCCTAAAGCTTACAGTAAAGCTGGTAAAGCCAGAAGAGCGGCTCGTTCATTATAAGCATATACGTAGCCGACATGGTCGCAATGTCCGTAACTCCGTAATTCCTCCTCTTCCTCCTCCTCCTCCTCCTCCTCCTCCTCCTCCTCCTCCTCCTCCTCCTCCTCCTCCTCCTCCTCCTCCTCCTCCTCCTCCTCCTCCTCCTCCTCCTCCTCCTCCTCCTCCTCCTCCTTTTCCTCCTCCTCTTCCTCCTCCTCCTCGTCCTCCTCCTCCCTTCCTCCTCCTCCTCGGGTCTCCTGCGGTCCCAGGGGAGGCCGTGCACCCTGGGGGGGTCCAGGGACCGATTGGGAAGCGGCCGTGGTCTCTCGGCCCGCCCCGCTCCGATATGGGACGACCTTCGGAGCAGGGCCGAGAGGTCTTTGAGAGTCTCGGGCCCCTTCCCGGGAGGCCCGCAGCGACCTGGTGTGGGGACCTGCGGGGACCTCTAGGGGCATCGCCTCCCAGACCGACGACGACCACGACGACCACGACGACGACGACGACGACGACGACGACGACGACGACGACGACGACGACGACGACGACGGCGACGGGGGTAGAGGAAAGATGGAAAATGGAGTACCAGGACGAGGGGTACGTGGGTTGCTCCCGAGGCTCTGGCTCAAGGGCTGCCCTTTTGTCCAGGCCTCCTGCTCCGAGGGCGGCCTGCGCTCAGGCGTGGGCCCCACGGGCCTGCTGCTGGAACCCCCTCCGGGGGCCCGCGCGCCGCCATGCCGGACGACGAGCCCGGCGGCACTCCGCCCGTGCCGTCGGGCGCCGACTTCGCGTCGCTGATCGAGCGCGCGAGGGCCGCCCACGTCGCGGAGGTCTCGAGGAAGCGCAACGGCGCACACACACACACACACACACACACACACACACACACACACACACACACACACACACACACACACACACGCACACGCACGCGCACGCGCGCGCGCGCACGCGCGCACGCACGCACGCACGCACGCACGCACGCACGCACGCACGCACGCACACACTCAACACACACACACACAAAACAACAAAACAGAAGCAAACCAACAGACGCGAGATCGTACGGTCAGGAGCTCTGTCTCCGCGTGTCGCTCCACCAGCTCTGGCCCACCACTCCTCGGCGCGTCACTCCATCCAATTCCTGGTGCCCCAGCGTCAGAGTCCCGAGCCTTCCCCCCCCCCCCCCCCTGGAGCGGAGCGACGCGCTATCCCCTTGCAGGGCACGGCCTGTCGCCGGGGCCGCCGCCGCGCCGCGCGAAGCACAAACTCCCGACCACGAGCGCAACTCTGCCCACGTCGCGAGGGGCTCGCAGGCGATTTCTCGCCCCCGGTCCCGGACTCTTCTCCGAAAGAGCAGGCCGCACAGAAAAGGGAGGGGCAATTCGGGGATGCACCTCTGGAGGGGGCTTTTCGGACGCGCCTGTACCGAGGATGGACGCCCCCCGTCGTATATCCCTGGGTTTGGCCGTCCATTTTTGCTCCATCCGGAAACTCCTTACAAAGGCGAGGAAAGGGGTCACTCTACCCCCCGTAAGAGTCACTAGCCCAAAACATACCCGGACCCGGGGTCAGCTGGGGTGAAAAGGGCCGCCCGCTAGAGCGTTTTCGGCCTTGCCGCCACCTCGTCTGGGTACGGGTCGGTGCCCGAAACAACCATACATACCCGGACCTAGCTGGGGTGGTGGTTGGGTCACCCCGTCTAGGTACGGGTATGTATGGTGGTTTCGGGAGCCGACCCGGACCCAGGGGGGGTGATGCCCCGAGGGCCCCTTGCCACCCCGTCTGGGTAAGGGTACGGGTATCTTTCGCGCTCGAGAAAGAGGTCTCGAAGACAACCTGCATCGTAAAAGTACTATTTCGAAGTTCCGCGCAGATCTGTCGGATCGGCGCTGGACCCCCCTCGCTTGCGCGCGGAGCGCGCCAGCGGCGGCGCCGGGGGCGTCCCCAGGGGGGGCCCAGCGCCGATCCGACAAATCCGCGCGGACCTTGGCCAGTTTACATTTTTGTTCCCTTGCAGCGTTCGGTGGCAAAAAGAACAGCAGAAGAGCCCCACAGGGGGAACGGGGAGCCCTAGACCGCCTTGTCTGGCAGCCGTTTCGATTGTTACTTCCTCGTAATTTATACAGGAGCCGGGATCCTGCCTCAATGTTGGTTACGTTTTTTGTTTGGACGGCCACGGTGTTTCGTAACATGTTGCCGGCGTGGGGCCAAGCATTGATATTTGTGTATGTGTATAGATATATAGTGTGCCATGTATGTAGAGTAACACATGTGGCGCAGTCAATATGGTGCAATCTATGCGGGGCAATTCACCGTGTTGACCTTGAAGTTGTCAATTTTACTGCTCGCGCAACCTTCCCAGCCACCCACCCGCAACTTGGTTTGAAAAACCCTTGCGGCGGCGATTGCGATGTCTGCTCGGCGCTGTCTGGCGCATCGCTGCGGCCGCGCCAGCCCGCGCATGCTCGCGCACGCAGCGGCCAGCTAGTTTGGCGCGACCGACGCGGCCGCAGTGACGCTGACCGTTGGGCATTTCCCAGCGGACACCCCAGTGTGAGTCGGCGTCTTGGGCGGGCGCGGTATCATGGCAACGTCGGCAAGGGTAAACGCAATGATGCTGGTAGCGATGCTGGTGACGATGGTGACGACAACGACGGCAAGGCCAATGACGGCGCCGATGTTGATCACGCCGACGACGATGACGGCGTCATCGCGTCGGTGATGAAGGTTTTGGGGGGAGTTCGACATGCGCGCGCGGCCGGCGCGCGAGAGTGGCCCGCGTGGTATTAATTGACGCGGATCGTGCCCCCCAGCAGGCGCGCAACGGCGTTCGAATGAATTCGACATGCGGCGCGGGAGAATTGTTTAACATAGTTGAATGAACATGTTGAACGTGTTGAACACTTCTTGCTTAATCGAGAATTTACACGAGCGCGAACGCAGGCTTCTATTGAACCTGACGTTGCAAAGCAGCGTGTGTGTTTTATTCGTTTTAGGGGCAGTCGATGTTGAAATCCCTGCGGGCCCTAAGATTTGCCAGGTATTTCGGCATGCGCGCGCGACAACGCGCGCGTGCGTAATCCGTCCCGTCTGTCGCACGAAAGTCTTTCGGCAACACTCGAGTAATCGCGTTCGAACGATTTCGACACGCGCGCGGGAATGTCCAGATTTGTTGCCTGTTATGCAAAAATTGAAACCGATGGCCTTCTATTCGCAAGAGCGTGAGCTCCGGTTTTTCGGGGGATATTCTTGATGCGAAACCATATGTTTTGTATGTTTTCGGGACACTCGGTTTTGAAACCCGTACGACACCGAAGGGTCTTGAAGGATTGGCGTGCACGTCGTCTTGCTTTGTGTTGGGGATTCATGAGCACGAATGATTTGTGATAGACGGGTGCGCGCGCATTTTATGTGTTGCCGAGCGTGAGTGGGTGGCGATATCAGCTTGCCGGGGATGGTACGATTGCATACCGATTTCCTATTGGACGATTGGGCAGAATCATACATACATGGCAATACGAAGCGGAGTACCGTGAAGTCCGGGAGGGGGTCGATCTTGCTCTTGCTGTAGAGGGGAGAACCGATGTGGCAAAATCTATGTGGTGCTATCCACTTTGACCGTCTTGAAATTGTCCTCTCCACTGCTTTTGTAAACATCCCACCCACCCACCCGCAATTTGGTTTGCAAAACCCATGCGGGACCGAGCCCAGATATCGCTCCGGGGTCGTCTTGGAGCCTTCGGGGGCGCCTCGAAAGCGCCCCAAGAAGGCCGGAGAAGCAAGACGGCCAACGACAACGACGACGACGACGACGGCGGCGACGACGACGACGCCGACGTCGACGACGAAGACGACGCCGACGCCGACGACGACGAAGAAGACGACGAGGAAGTCGCCAACGAAGACGATGACGGGGGAGGAGGGAGGACGACGACGGCGACAACGACGACAACGACGACAATGAGGGAGGAGGGAGGACGGCGACGACGCGAACAACGAAGAAGGAGGAACGACGGCGACGCCGACGACGACGACGAGGGAGGAGGGAAGACGACGACGAGACGACGACGACGACGACGACGACGGCGACGAAATAGGAGGGACGACGACGAGACGCCGACGACGGACGACGACGACGACGAGGGAGGAGGAGGAAGGACGACCACGGCGACAACGACGACGGAACCGACCACGACGCCAAAGAGGATGACGACGACGACGAACACGAGGAAAGACAGAGGACAACGTAGGCGACGACGACGACGACGCGGGAGGAGGGAGGACGGCGACGACGACGACGCCGCAAGAGCGCGCTCGCGCACGCTTTTGTTGAACATCCGTGTTGCGAAACCTTATATGTTTGCAGTTTTTTTTGGACGCGCGATTTTGAAATCTTTCCGAAACCGATGGGTTTTGAAGGATTTCGGCGTACGCGCGCGACGACGCGCGCGTCTGCACTTCGTTTCATTTTCTGCGGAGGATTCTCGCGACGGCTCACGCGCAAGGGCGTTCGACAGATTTCGACATGCGCGCGCGACGCCCGTTCGGTAGCATGTTGTGAAAATGTGGAAAAACCAGTGGTTTTCTTGAAATTTCGCATGAGCTCTCGCGTAAGCTTTTTTAGCAAATCGGTGTTGCGAAGCCCTGTGTTTTTGCATGTTGGGAAACTCGATTGCGAAGTCCTTCCGGCACCGAAGGTTTTTGAAGGATTTCCGCATGCGCGCGCGACGACGCGCGCGCGTGCACTTCGTCCTGTTTTTTGCAAGGGATTCGTGGACAAGTGCTATGTTAGAACAAACAATGTCACCGCATCGTGCTTTTTTTTGTGCAAGGGAACCTCAGGGGGGTGGTACCGGTTGGCCTGGGACATTGCGATTTCATATTTAGGATGGACAGGTGGTCGTAATCATATGTGATTCACATACCCGAAAGGGGGGGCGATAACCCCGGGGGGGGGTAGAGTCTATTTTGTTTTGAGAAAAGAGAATTGATTCATTTTGCCGAACTTGAAGTTGTCAACTCCACTGCTCGCGCAACCATCCCAGCCACCCGCCCGCAACTTGATTTGAAAAACCTCTTGCGGCGGCGATTGCGATGAGTGCATGGCGTTAGCTGGTGCATCTCGGCGGTTGCGCCAGCCCGCGCATACTCGCTCGCGCAGCGGCCAGCTAGTTTGCCGCGACCGACGCGGCCGCGGTGGCGCTGACCGTTGGGCGCGTCCCAGCGGGCACCTCAGCGCGAGTCGGCGAGTTGAGCGGGCGCGGAATCATGACAACGTCGACAACGGTAGACACGATGATGCTAGTAACCGTGCTGGCGACGATGATGACAGCGGCGACGGCACGGCCAGAGACGGCGCCGATGTTGATCACGCCGACGACGATGACGGCGTCTTCGCGTCGGCGGTGCCAGTTTTAGATGGAGTTCGACGTGCGCGTGCGGCCGGCGCGCAAGAGTGGCCCGCATGGTATTCATATTTGGCGCGGGCCTTTCCCCCCCAGCACGCGCGCAAGGGCGTCCGAATGATTTTGACATGCGGCGCGGGTAGTTCGTCTGGCAAAATTCAATGAACATGGTCACCAACCGATGGTTTCCGCAAGAATTCGCAAGAACGTGGTCGCCGTTGTTTGTTCCAACGGATGTTGCGAAACCGTGTGTGTTTATATGTTGGTGGGGTACTCGATTTTGAAATCCTTACGACATCGAGTGTTCCCGAAGGGTGGTGGCGTGCGCGCGCGACGGCGAGCGCGCATGCGCTTAGGTTTTTGCTGCAGCGGGTTCTCACGACAGCACGCGCGCAAGGGCGTTCGAACAATTTCGACGTGCG